CCACTTTGCTATTGTTTGTCTGTATAATCTCTGTCTGGTTCTGTGATTGTTCCTGTCTGCTGTATAATTAATTTTGCTGGGTGTAAACTAATTAAGGTGGTGGGATATAATTGGTTACATAATCATGTTACAATATGTTAGGATTGGTTAGTTAAATTTCAGGAAAATGATTGGTTAAGGTATAGCTAAGCAGAACTCAAGTTTTACTATATAATCTGTAATCAATGAGGAAGTGACTGGGTATGGGTGGGGGTGGGCATGTGGGTGTGTGAGATGGGAACAGAGAATGGGGGTAAGAAAATTGGAATCATGTTTTGCTAAAGGGGGAAATGGGAATGGGAGTAAGGAAGTTGGAATCATGTTTGGCTAAGGGTAGGAATGAGAACAGGGACACAGGTGTAAGGCTCTGTGGTGTCAGAGCTGGGAAGGAGGATACTAAGGAAGGAAACTGGAATCATGCTTGCTGGAAGTTCACCCCAATAAACATCGAATTGTTTGCACCTTTGGACTTCGGGTATTGTTGCTCTCTGTTCATGTGAGAAGGACCAGGGAAGTAAGTGGGTGAAGGAATAAGCCCTCTAACATATGCTGGAATCTAGAGTCTCGACGAGTCCTACCTATGTATCCAAGGTAAGAACGGCTGCAGTCTGCTCCGCTGCATACAAATCAGGCACCGACTTTGGGCTCCTACCCATACTACCCCCAGCCATGCTGCTATTTTTTGGGCTCTAGCTTGAGCAGAACTTGTGTGTTTCTGTCTACTTGTGCTGGGAAGCACGCTTCCGGTGGCTGTGTAGATGTATCCTGAGGCAGTGCACGTGCTAGCCAATTGGAGGCCCTAAGTAGGAATATTTTACGCTCCCCACCCTGCAGCACATATAAATAACTGATAGGAGGGGGCCTTCAGCTGCTTGGGACCTAAGCAATTGCTTAGTCTGCTTATGCCTAGCGCCGGCTCTGCCCTGAGTCAAGGCTACGTAATTCCATTACTAGTCAGGCTAACACAGCTACCACTCTGAAACTAGTCCTCTGAGCGGGTATCTGGTTTCTCAGCAAGGTATATTTCCGCTTCCCCATCCTTGAATTTTCCTTTTCCCCCCTTTTTGTATTATTTAAGGACAATTTAATTGGCTCAGCAAGCAGGAGATACTCCTAATGTTTCTTTATCAGCTTTTAATAGGAGTTTTCCTGACACCTGCTACAAATGAACTAAAGGAAAGAAAACCACGGAAGCCTTTAACTCATTTGTGACGGTGGAGGGAGATTTCCCCATTTCTCTGTGACCTCCGGGTGACTCCCACTACTTAAATTCAGCTGAGATCTCCTGGGCAGCGGCCATGCATAAGAAAGCAATAAAAACACTTTCAGTTGTCGATGCATCTGCCTTTGTTTTGCTCTTTGACTGTGCTCTCTGCTACCAGGGGGGAATGTTTGACGCAGACTAGCGTGACTTTGCATTTCATACTGCATGGTCCATTTAGCTGCTGTAACTCTGCTTTAAGCTGGTCATGGGGAAGAATTAAGCTCTTTTCTTCACAGACATCCAAATTCCCTCTAGTTCTCGTGGACTCCAAGAGAGAGAGAAGAGATGCATTTCTACCTCTTTCCTTGCAGTCCCATGTACGGAGGTAGTTTTTATATTCAGAGTACGCGCTGCACTGGTTCCCTGATTTTACCACACAGAAACCTCTCAAGCCTGACAAAGCAGGCCTTGCCTCAGTGCCTCCCCCGACTCTACTGAGATAAACTAGGTTTTCAGGGTACAAAGAACACTCTGGCCTTCTCAAAACACAAACTGATTGTAGCCGTGGGATGACAAAGCTGGGATTGAGACATAGTTTTAACACAGGCCCCGGAGGCCTGGTCCTCTTCAGTGCTTTGCCCCTTTTGTAGTCATCTACATCTGGGCAAAGTTGATGTAAACAGCACAATGGCTGCATTTTACACACACTTTGCACAGATGTACACACTGCACAAAGGCCTCATGTGTTAGAAATGAAGCATGAGAGTGCCAAAGAATCTCATTCAGTTTGAGGCTTGCTCCAAAAGCAGAATCAGGAATACCAGAGATGCAGCCCCTGGAAATGGGTTTTTGAAAAGAAGAGAATCACCTGAGATAGCATCAATTCTGTGAAATGCCCTACAGTAGCGAGAATCATGGCTGTGGGGAATGGTGCCAAGTACCAACCTTCCCCACAAAGCAAGAGGCCAGCTGTCTCCTTTTTACCACTGTTGGAATGCAAAGACTATACCAGCCCTAAAAAGGAAGGGAGGTAATAGCCTCACAGCTTCCAGCAGTTATTAGCCACCTTGATCTTGATCACAGCCCTACCTGCTGCTAGACACAAAATCCCTCATGTCTGGCATAAATGAATAAACTTTAAGATCCCAGTTCTGACCAGCACCTTTCAGGAGGCACAGCACTGGTGAAGTAAGCAAAGGTAGATTTAAAACACTTTTCAATGTCCATGATTTTGGGGCTAGTGAGAGCCCGTTTGGCAGCCCTCAGGATAAACTAGAGCTGACTTAACAGCTACTCTAACATATGTCTGGGCTGTAGAGATCCCCAAGGGACTATCCAGCCATGACACGGAACAATCAAGACACACCCATCAACAACCCCTCCTTTCCACAGGCCTGCTCCCTGCACACCATTACACAAGGGAACAACAAGAGGCAACCAATGACTGTTAGGATATTCCCCACTGGGGAGCTCCTGGTGCTTTCCTACCCACATGCATTACAGGAGCTCCTCTCTCTCTCTCTTACCCTACACGATTATGGAGTTTTTCATTTGTAACCACTATAAAGGTATGAAGTTTTACAATATATTGCTTAACAGGAAGAAGGAAGGAAATTAGTACAAGTGCTGGCGGGGGGTGAAGAGGAGGGGGGGAACCAAACTAACCCAAACCACAACAAAATTGGGCATTTTCCAATTGTCATCAGTGAAATAACAGAGGGTATTTCCAGTAAAGTCACATTCTAATCAAAAGATACCACACACATTCACAGTACGGTCATCTAGGCATCACCGGCACAGAAGAAAGCATGGCACACCAACATAAGCACACCAAGTTACATAAAATAGCATTGAGATTCTGAGTTAAGGTATGTCTACACCGCAATCACGAAGTGAGCCTGCAGCTCTTGTAGTGATGTCTGTGCTAGCTTTAATCTAGCTAGCTTGCATACCAGAGCAGCGAAGTCACAGCAGCACACAATTTCAGCCCTGGTTGTCCAAACCTTCCAGGAACCCAGGGTAACTACTTGCACACTGCTGCAACTTCTCTGCTCTGGTACTCGAGCTAGCTAGATCAAAGCTTGCTCAGGTATGGCTACACAAGCTGCCATCACCCCCAGGACTGCAGTGTAGACATACCCTCACACGCATAAAGCAAGATATTCATACAGGCATTCAGAGGGAGAGAGATCTCCAGTATATCACTCCCAAATCAAGGTGAAGTTTAAATTTATGCCTGAACCATTCCTATAAGACCACCATGCATATATGCAACTCGAGAAAGTTCAAAATCTCCCTTGGTAACCGTGCTTTATTTCTGCATTGACTGACTGTAGTTTTAGGGCCCAGCCCTGTCTTTACTTATACCCTATGTATCTCTCACGGAGTCAATGGACCTGCACAGGGTGTAAATCAAGGCAGGTTTAACCTGGTGGGTGGTTTCACTAGCCAGGGAAGGGAAATAAACCTCCAGGCATCCATATTTTCAAGGCCCTTTCCTCAGGGTTTATTTTGTTGTCTACAAAAAGGTCACAAAACAAAAGCAAATCAACTGGTGACACTGGGCAATAATCCCCACAGGCTTTCTCCACTTGACCCAACCTAGAGGGAAGAAGGCACTCTCTTGTCCTTAGTTTTCCCTTTGATCATCGCTTTCCTTTCCTTTTACACTCTGCCCCTGAGCAGCCACATGAGTCCCAGTGGGAACAGTTAACCCTGTTACAGATTGCAGCACCTTTACTTTGTCACAGCAGGATTTGCTTTAACATGTTAATATTTGCCCTGCATTTTCCCTGCTGCATCTTATGCCTCTTACATCTCATGTTCTGTCCTTGATAGCTCCTGAGAGTAATTGATCCCGATCCTCTTTATAGCATCTTGGTAAGTACTGTCTTCGTAAGTAGGTAAACCTCTCCCCTCCACCTCCCCGCCATCTCTTCTCCATATTGAACATCTCCAGTCTCTTAACCTTTACTTTAGCAATTTTATTTTCTACAACTTTTGTCATTTATTTGTATATGCTCCTCCTCTGATTTCTCTCCAGTTGGTGTGCCCCTTTACAAATATGATCCCATGAAGCCTAACCAGAAACCCAACCAGTGCCAAAATAATTACCTTATTTATTTCACATGAAAGATTCCTGTTAAGATGACTCTAAATGGTGTTTTCCTGTTGGCAACAATGTTTTACCTCATGTCCAGTTTATCATCTCCTATAACCTCCAGATCCATTCCTGCAGCACTGCTGCCTAGCCAATCATGCCTCATTTTACTTTTGTGAATTTGATTATTTCTTCCTACATCAGCTACTTTACATTAGATTGTATCTCCTTTGATAGATTCAAGTCCATTTCTCTTATCTATCAAGCTCATGCTGTATTTTAATTCTACACTCAGTTTACTGACAATCTCTCTCCATTTTGTATCGTCCTCATATTAGATTAGTGTATTCTCCCCCTCCACTCTCCAAGTCATTTATTATTTGCATTACAGCAGCATCCAGAGGCCCAAATCAGTATCGGATCTCGATTGCACTAGGCGCTGTACAGACATATATTAAGAGACAGTTCCTGCCCCTAAGTGCTTCCAGTTTAATTTAAGAACAGACACAAGAAGAGGGTGTAGCAAATAATCCGAGCAAATGAGGAAATGTTTGAACTGTACAGAATTTGGAGTCAGTGGCAGTTCTATCTAGCACAGCCGGAGCAATCCTCCACTCACAACAAGAAGATAATAAAAGCAATCTCAAACAGATGTACCTTTTATCCCCATCCTGTGTGTGTCCATCAGAGCAGTTCATTTACCACCAGAGTACTTCCCAAAGAAGGATCCAGGTTGGCAGCAGCTGCTCCAGTGCCCCATAAGGTGCAGTGCCCATGTGCATTATTGCAGCATGTGGACTCAGATACCATGGTGGTGGATGGAGTATAAATGCCTGGACAGAATAGATAAGATTGGTTAGGCTCCCGCAGCAGTAGTAACCCTAGAACTACACTGGATAGCCCATCAACTACAGCAGAGGCCCAAGGATTACAGTCAGAAGGGCAGTGAACAAATGAACACATGTGCAGCTAAGGGAAGTTAGAGCACCCACCCTAAGACACCACTGCCCAGACCTGCACCCTGTGGGATCCTTCTTGACATTTCAGCTCAGCTCAGCTCAGCACTGAAATAATAGTTACTCTTGAAGCTCGATTGTGTTTAAGCAAATGTGTGGTTGTCTCACAAGTGATTCTATGTAGGCACACTTCAGCAGTTTATCTAGGAGAGGAGTCACTATCAATAGCCTTATATTACAAGTTTCAGAGTAGCAGCCGTGTTAGTCTGTATTCGCAAAAAGAACAGGAGGACTTGTGGCACCTTAGAGACTAACCAATTTATTTGAGCATAAGCTTTTGTGAGCTACGTAAGTTAGTTGCATCCGATGAAGTTAAGCTGTAGCTCACGAAAGCTCATGCTCAAATAAATTGGCTAGTCTCTAAGGTGCCACAGGTACTCCTGTTCTTTTTTGCTTATATTACAAGTACACTTTAAATGCCCTGAGTGCTGTAAATCGCAAGTGCCGTACAACATGGCCCTGGACTCATCAGAAACAATTCATGGCAAACCCACTTAATTTTATTTCCTCAATGACAGCAGGATCAGTGAACAAAAGAATTGTGGTGGACACAGCAAAAAACATAGTGCACTCTACTCACTGCTTCAGTTTTATTCACTAAGGAGAGGATTACAGCTGGCCTTCACGCGGGGGCCTGGTGGGGAGAGGCCACAATGAGCTATACTTCGCATAACCTGCAAAATAACCAGCCATAACTGCAGTCCATGAAGAGCACAGAGATTATTCCCTTTACTGGAGAGCTTCAGAGGGGGCAGGGACGGGAGGAAAGGACACATACACACACTCGAGTTGTCAAAGCTGGCCAACTGTGTGATGGGAGGGGGAAATACGCTATTATACCATGAAGGGAAGTAACAGGCTCACTACCTCTGTGGGTCTGGGAGTTCTGAGAGGCATTCTTCTTCCCTGAGGCAGAATGTCTCCTGGTACTTCCCTTGGGGACAGTGTGGCTACACAGCAACCCCAATACAAGACTATGTCTTGCAGGCATGACTGAGTACTAAATTCATCTTTGTGAAGACAGGCCACTTTAAGATCCTATGGGCTTCTCATGCCCCAGTTATACACAGCACTGAGGACTTCAGTCATACCTAAGGCTTTGTGCAGGCCTTTTGCGTGGGGGCGAATTAGAGCCTAAGCTTGTTACCATCTGTTATCTTGTCAAAGAAAGAAATAAAATTGGTTGACATGATTTGTTTCTACTGTAACTTAAAGCATTTAACATACATTTCTGTCCAAACCATTTCCTTTATTCACTAAGGGTCAAGCTCTGCCTCCTTCCCAGCTAAGGCAGCTGGCAGAGTTCTGCTGTATGAGGAAGGGGGATAGGATTCCTAGAGCCTAACTCCTTCATCTGTAGGGGTGGGGATAAAAGATTTGCAGATCTAGGTTCATTGGCCACTCCGCCCAGCATAAGAAAGAACATGAGCTGAAGACACTGCTACAGCTCAGAGACTGCCAAAGCAGATATGCTGCTGCCCTGTAACATGAGTGGTAGGATTCTATATCTACACTCATTAAAATTTTTTGCACCAAGCCCATTTTCTTAGGCTTAGTGTGGGGTGGAGGGGAAGGTTTGCTCTCAGATTCATTGCAACCTCATCCATGAATTAAATGCTGGTAAATTGCTGGAGCATGATTTGTTTCTGAAATGCCCATGTCACACACTCTCTTCCCTCAGAAATTCACACTTAGCAGTACAAGGGTAATTTGCTTTCCATATATCACTGCCTTATGCCTAGGAATTTCAGCTCTCATGTCTATAAAGCAACCACTTTTCTCTAACCCCACTGTCAGAGGACTGTATTAGGGCATGTCTACATGGGGACACTCAGGAAAGCTAAGCCAAATTAATTTGAGATGTGAGAACTCATAATTAGCTACAGTAAAATATGCAAATTTCCATCTGTGTTTTGGAGCAAGTAAATCACACAGACATCCTCTAATCTGCTCTGTATTATTTTAGTAGTATTTACAGTCCAGAACAGGGAATTTCTAGATTATAAATAACCTTCAGGAACAGAGAGATCAAAATGTCCCATCCCAGATAAATCCAAGGAATAAAAGTTTAGTTTCTAGTCCTTTTCTCCTCAATAACTAAGGCCTGGTCTGCAGATAGTTTCTGTACTGTCTAGGTTAGGGGTGTGATTTTTTACTGAAATAGTTATACCAGTACAACCTCAAGTGTGGACAAAGTTATAGGCAGGGCTTCTAATAATATGTAATCATGTAATTAAAGACTGTATTATAATGTAATGCAGACACATAAGGCGGCTGAATTAAGGATGCAGAGGCAACCTTAATTCTGGTATTTCCTAATTTTTGAATGCTTGACTTTGCAACCTAAATAATGTTCTTTTAATTTATTTATATGTGTGTGTGTGTGTGTGTAACACAAGTATAAAGATGTCTTATATAAGAATAGCTTATTCCCCTTCCTGTATTATAATAAATTATACCAGTATGAGCATCTTTGCACCAGTATAACTGTATTGCTTTGACAACACTGGTATAGTTAAAGTAGTAAGCTTTTGTATGCGAACAAGGCTTTACTTTCTAATTTGAGAGTGAGCAGAAGGCACACATTCTGTCCCAGCTTTTACAGCACCATATCTTTTCCCTCTATCTGTTCTTTAATTCTCCTTGTTTAAAGTTTCCCTTCTTCTGGCTGCTTTCTGAACTGAAAGCTGAGTCAGTTTGGAGAAAGAATCCAAAATGGAGGACTGACCATTTATGGAATGAACCTCTTCCCACAGGTGTAGTTAGGTTAAGATGGAGTGGAGTGAGAGGGTGGTCATGGTCCTAAATATACAGCTCTTGCTCTAAATATATGCACTCTTTGTTAGCTCTGGTGGAAGGAACGGGTACAGAGGGGGTTTTCATCAATGTTATTTTTCTTTGTGTACATATTTTCTGTATATACAATTTAAATCTTGCTAACATGGGATTGGAGAATGAAAGTGGCTTTTGGGGGACAAAGGGGAATTCTATTGTTCACCCTGCCTTCCTGAAGTCTTTAGGAGAGGGGCTCCTGGCTCCTGTGGACCTTAAGAGCATTTCATGGTATAGTTAGTCCTGGTTAAGTGCATCCACTATATGATAATGTATCCCATACCTGCTGGGTGTGGTGCTCTGTCCCCCTTTATTGACACCTAGACAGTAATGAGTCTGCTACAGCCTTAGCTAACAGGAGCATGGCTTTTAGCTCATGCAGTAGAGGCTCATGCATTTAGCTCTAGAAGTCCCCCCGTTCAGTCCTGCCCTCTGACAATCGGGGTCTGTTGGCATTACAATAACTCTTAGTAGGCTTGTCAGGAGGACTCCCATTCCACCATGACAGGTTTCAGAGTAACAGCCGTGTTAGTCTGTATTCGCAAAAAGAAAAGGATACTTGTGGCACCTTAGAGACTAACCAATTTATATGAGCATAAGCTTTCGTGAGCTACAGCTCACTTCAGCGGATGCATTCCACCATGTATACAAAGTTTAGAAGTCTGCCAATGTAGTTGGCTCTTGATGTGCAACAACTCCTACTTTTCCCAGTGTTTACAGTACGCCAAGATATGCACTTTTAGAAAACAAATCCTCAGAGTTCTAAAACTTGAGCTGTTACTTAGGACCAGTATTTTGTGTGGTGGGGACATGACGAAAGAACAAGCATTTTGATTATACCTGCCTTGCCCAATAAGGGCAATAGATAGTCTTAGGCCAAAAATTTTCAAACTAGGGTGCCAGAGTTGGGCTCTTCAATCTATATTGAGGCATGAAAATAAAAATGGCCTGGTTTTCAAAGGTCTCTCCAGGTCCCATCAACTTAATGAGATTTGTGGATGGGTGCTCAGCACCCCTGAAAAGCAAGTCACTTAACTTTTCACAGAGGTGCTTGGATATGGAATTACGAGTCTAATTTTACATATCCAGGTGTGAATTTTTTGACTTTACTGTGATTTCCTAAATGTGGATGGTGTGGTTTGATTTTTTGGTCATGGCTTCTCTTTGTTATTAATTTAACTCATCTTGGGCAGTACAATGTTAAATATATAATTTTGCACCTAATAATAATCTCAGCCTTTCTGTGAACAGTGCCAGTTTGATGGAGATCATTAAACTCCATAAAGACATCTGCTTAAATCAATGAGCCTATATAGCTACACAGTTCTCCCTCTTGACAGCATTTTCTCTGCCTTGAAGCCTCCGTAAGTCAGCAGAGGGGAGTTCAAAGGACACAAACTATGCTTTCTAATAGTGTCAAAATGCCCTTTGTGACATGAATTTGCTTTACTTTAAAGGTAATTCATTAGAAACTAGACATGACCTAGCTTAATCATATCTGACACTCAAAAAGAATATTAATCACCATGGCTGTAATTCCAGCCCCACTGAAATCAAATGGAGTTTTGCAATTGACTTTAATGGGGCCCGTATTTCACCCTGTGGCTTTACAGTAATTCTCAGTTTTCCTATTTGCTGGACACTATACATGTCCTTTCCTTTTTATGTTTGTTTTGTTACTGGAAATGAAATCGGTACACAACCACCTTCTCAGCCTTATCTCATTGCCTCTGCCCCCCTGTGCTCTTTGAGTCTAAGCAGCCACAGTGGAATACTGCTGTGGCTGTAACTATTGCTAACGCAAACAGTGGAGTCCAGTAGTAAAGCACCGTGTTTTCCAATTAGGCAGGCCCCAACCCGGCAGAAAGCTGCTTTCGCTTTACAGATTACTCAAGG